ATTTATGATTTATTAAAGCTTGCCTGAGGATTCAGTTATCAAAGTCAGCCACAAGCTATAGAAGCCAGGCACACACCTTTAATCCCAGCAGCCAAAAGCCAGGAGGTGGTGGTGGTGGTACACACCTTTCATCCTAGGACTCAGGATTAAGAGGTAGATGGATCTCTGTGAGTTCAAGGCCACTCACTCATCTACATAAGAGTAAATCAGTCTAAAAGCATGATAGCTCACACCTTTAATCCCAACATTAGGGAAGTGTATAAGACAGAAACAAGGTCTCAGAGAGGCATTTGGGTTCTCCGGACATACTGAGGAGAGGCAGCAGTCTGAGGCTTGGTGAAGAGCTTTTGCGTGCGTGGATCAGCCCATTTAGCCTTGAGGTAAGAAGCTAGTGGCCAGCTGCTTTGCTTTTCTAAACTTCAGTTTGAAGTTTGAACCCCAATATCAGTCTCTGATTTTTTTACTAATTTGTGTTACAGAATTCCCCCACCCCCTAAGACGGGGTCTCGCTATGTACCTCTGACTGTTCTGGAGCTTGCTATTTAGACCAGTATGGCCTCAAACTCATAGGAATTTGCCCACCCATGCCTCCTGAGTCTTGGGATTTAAGGCTGGCACCACCACCACCCGGCATCGCCACAAGAATTCTTAACTGAAATTTGCCCTGGAACTTTTAAAATGTTCCCAAATACCCTAAATCTTTTCATAGAATTTGTCCAGGTAAAAAGAAATGTAGCTTCACTAGGATTCAGATAGCTGCTCTTGTAGGTGGCTCAGTTACATTTGTTCTTCTCAGTAACAGGCTATTTACCATGGATAGTTCTCCTAATACCATCTAAGTGTTACAGTTCTGTGTCTTGTTATTTTCTTTTTTGTTTTGAGATGATCCTCCTACCTCTGTTTCTGGAGTTCTGAGGTTGCAGGAATGTACCTCCATATTTAGTTACTGCTTAATGTGATGCTGAGTATCAACCCAGGGTTTTGTGCCTGCTAGGCAAGCGCACTACCTACACCCTAGCCAAATTATTTCACTTTACAACTAGGGTTTTGCTTCTTGTACTCCCATTTGTTTATTAGAACACATCATCTTGCTTTTGTTCTGACCAGCTAGTCCTCTTGTTCTTTTTTTTTGGTTTTTGTTTTTGTTTTTTATGAGACAGGGTTTCTCTGTATTGCTTTGGAGGCTATCGGTCCAGCCCTGCCCCGAACTCACAGAGATCCGCCTGCCTCTGCCTCCCGAGTGCTGGGATTAAAGGCGTGCGCCACCAACGCCCAGCTCTTTTTTTTTTTTTAAATCAGAAGTAATAGGAATTGAGCTTGGGGTGAGTTGTCAGCCACTGAGCTTAAATTTCCTAAATAGAGATTTAGAATACCGTCTTTTTTTTTTTTTTTTTTTTTTTTTTTGGTTTTTTCGAGACAGGGTTTCTCTGTAGTGTTGGAGGCTGTCCTGGAACTCACTTTGTAGACCAGGCTGGCCTCGAACTCACAGAGATCCCCCCTGCCTCTGCCTCCCGAGTGCTGGGATTAAAGGCGTGTGCCACCAACGCCCGTCGAATACTAAGTCTTTAGGAGAATTTTTCCATTCAGTGTTTGGAAGAGTCAAACCCACGGTCTAATACATGCTAGGCAAATGCTCCACCATATATTGTTGGCTCTGATTCGTTTGTTAGTTAGACTTGTTACATTTCCATTTCATCTGTACCTCTGTAGTCTACAGCCTTGTTGATTCATTGTATGGTCTATAGTTCTTTTGGCTCTGATACAAATAGAGTGGTATGTTGTTATCTCAGTTCTGTACAAAGCATCTTGTTGTCCTAAAATCTCACTCTTAACCCTTTATAGATAAGCCTTATTGACAACTCCCTGGTTTTGCCTATGTTAATATTATATACTTGGAACTCTTACAATATGGAGATTTTGGACATGGCTTCTTACATTAGCAATGCCCTCCTCCCCCATGGTGTTGATAACTGGACCCAGGGCTTCTCATATACTAGACAAGTATTCTACTGAACTACATCCCCAAAATGTGCTTAAGATTATGCTGTATTGAAACTGAGTGTGTTGGCATACAGCTGTAGTCCCACTACTTGGGAGGTAGAGGTAGGAAGATCAGGAGTTAAGTCACCTGTGGCTACATAGAGAGTTTGAGGGCTACATGAGAAACCCTCCCCTCTTTATTTCTTTCTTGTTTTACTTCCACCATGTTTTATGAGTCAATAAGTCAATTTTTTTCTTTTTTCTTGAGAGACAGGGTTTCTCTGTGGCTGTAGAGCTTGTCTTGGAACTCTGCTCTGTAGACCGGGCTGACCTCAACATTCCAGTCTTTTGTGGATATGGGCATGAGAACAAAATCTGGACTTCTTTGTTTTTTATTTTTTAAGACAAGGTTTCTCTGTTTATCTCTGACTATACTGGAACTGCTCTGTAGACCAGGCTGACCTGCCGCTGCCTCCCTAGTGCTGGTATTAAAGGCATGTGCCACCAATGCCTGGCTAAATAAGTCATTATTTAAATGCCCTTTATCATACATTTTATAGCACTAAAAGTGAATTGATTTAGAGAAAATAACACTTGACCCTTAATGGCTAAGGTTAGACTTTAGGAATGTAATAGTAAGGCTTTCCCTGACCAGGCCTCTCTGTCTAGAATTAGCCATTTTTTAAACAGCTGATATAGTTTATTCTATACTAAAAATTACAGATTTTGTGACAACATATAAATTTCTATTACAATAAGCTACTATGAATTAAGAATAACAAAATTTTACTTAGTCACAAACTTGAAGCTGTGTGCTTTGTTTACAGGTAATCAATTTTGATACATAATTTACATTTACAGAGATGACTCAGTCAAGTGTATAGTTAAGTCTAAGTTCTGTGTGTTAAATTATGTTCTTTGGCACATGCCAGTAATTTCAGCTCCCAGGGTTCTGAGGCAGGATTACTAGTTTGAAGCCAACCTGGGCTACATAGAAACATAGAATCTGTTTCAAATGCACATGAGCACATATGCAGATACACACACACACACACACAAGTCTAGAGAGTACAATTAATCACCCTGTATTCCTTGATAGACAAAATACAGGCACTGTAACCCCACCAAGGTCAGAGTGGTGTCGATAATACAGGCTTGCCTCCACAGGCACCAGGCTCTAACCTGTAAAGGCCTACTAGGGAAGGTAACAGTGAGGTGGTAATTAACAACATATCAACTCTTATTAAAATTGAACAACTTTGGGTATTTTAGTGTTTGGTTTCTGTGCTTTGGGCAGATCCAGAACTTCTTCATAGTCTGCACTCATTCCCTGTGTCCAGTGACCAACTGTGACCATCTGATCTGAATTCTGATTTTCAGGGCAGTCTTTCTTAAAAGGTCCCACAGAGCCACAGAGTTCACAGCTGCCACCATCAGCATAACTCCTTTGGGATTTTCAGGGTAGGACCTGGACAGGTGCCCCATTTCTCCACAGACGAAACATTTTGCAAAAGGAAATTCACCGAGAGTGGGGTCTATGCTAGCTCTGCACTTTGTAATCTGTGTTCTGTGGACCCACTGCGGTAACAAATGCCAGTGTCCATGTCCTGATTTTCCAGTGCAGCTGGGCAATCCGCAACTCCATGCCCAGGTCTTCTACAATGGAAACACACCATTGCATTTTTCTTTGCTGCTTGTCTTTTTAACTGTCTTCCTGTCGGTTGTCTTTCTTCAAGGCCACTGCAATTTCTTCCCGTACTTCCTGGCTGTCTGTTGCTATCAACTCTCCATTGTGAAGCCTCTGCGAGTTTTGTTTTAGGTATTCCATGAATCCATTCACATCTTCATTTAAGTGCTCTTTTTTCTTTTTGTTCCTCTTATGTTTTGCATGAAGGGGTATCATTTTTAAGCAACAGCCTACTGAACTGACGATGTCTGTGCTTTGGAAGGTTTTGGTCTGCGCTCTCTGCAGCTCCCTTCTTCATGTCCTCCCATGATGTCGCAGACAAAGGTTTCTTATTATTCAAGGTGGTATGGTCACTCTAGCCCATCTGGTCATGGTTTCAGCAGAGACACTTTAAAGATCAGTGGGAATCCACCAGATCAGCTGAGACACAGCAAGCTGGAGAAGCCTGGCCCTGCCTAGCCATGTTTTTTGAAGGAAGCCACATAACCAGTTTTGTAAAGTGAGCAGTAAGATACTTGATCTGAAAGTTGTTACCTCTTATCTTCCTGGGTATCTAGGGATCCTTGAGTAGCTCTTTTTAACATCAGCATCTTGTTGTAAAGCACCTGTCACCCTTGGACCCATGGTGAGGATTTGAGTCTTGTCCATTGAAATGAAGTGAGCCTTCAGTGCAAGGTTTCTAGGTCGTTGTCTTTTTCCTTGGGGTTGCCAAGTTCCAGGTATGTCTGAGTGGTACCATAAATCTCAGCAAATTTTGTGGGAGTTTCTTTTGGGACCACTATTATTTAAATCTCTGGCCCTGTAGTCCAGTCATTAGGTAGATTTTCCCCAAGGGTGTCTTATGGAAGGCCAGTTTCTGGAATCTTCTTGTAATTGATGGCTCATTATGCCGCATAATTGTGACAGTATATATTTGAGGGTCAGGCTATATTTGAGAATGTTTCACTGATAATAGATGCTTACAGCAAATTGGGAAAGCAGCCAATGACTACTTAACATTCCTGACTAGTTGTGCGAGTGTGCGCTTGTGCTTTTGCTTTCTCTCTCCTCATCCCCCCCTCCTCTCATCTTCCCCCTCTCTCTCCTCTCATCTTCCCCCTCCTTTTTTGAGACACTGTCACCCAGAGCTGTCTCAGAGTTCACTGTGTAGATCAGGCTGTCCTAGAACTCAGAGATACCTGCCTACCTCTGCCTCTACCTCTCAACTTTCTCTCTTTTTAAAATTAAAATGGGATGGGTGAGTAATGGAAGGATAGATTTTGAATGAGTATACACTTGTTATGATTTGTATTTCCATTGGCACATAGTAATTTTATTTTACTTCTATTTGTAGTAATGAATGTTATAACAATCGAAGATTATAAGAGCACATACTGGCCAAAATTAGATGGTGCCATAGATCAACTTTTAACCCAGAGTCCTGGTGACTATATACCTATATCTTATGAACAGATTTACAGGTAAGTCACTGTTTAATTTGCCTGGTTTGAGTGGGATTTGATTGCTGACAACATGAATGTGATATATAAAGTATGTAAGATGAAGTTGGATGTATATATTCACCACACTTGGTGAATTGGAGGTTTGGTTCAGAAGTGGTTTCCAAAAGAGATAGAGTATACCATACTATTAGCATCTGTCTTTGCTTGCTTGTCTGTCTCTGTCATATATAATGAAAAACCTCCAAGGCCAGTAAGAAAAGCTAGTGATGTATCTGCTGTAAAAATACAAAGTTTTTAGGAGATCCTAGTTAACCTTGTTGATGCTTACTGACATGTAGTTCTAGCTCTCTTGGATATTATATTGTTACCTAGCTCTTGGTAAATGGAATCAATATATTAGGAACTGGGGTAGGAAACCAGCATAGGACAGTGACAGGAAGAAGTGGCAGCTATGTTGTCCCCTAGACTGGCATACAAGGAGAATGTATTGCAAACACCTTTGTTAGTTGGAAACTTTCCCTCTTCTGGTTATCACTCTCTTCCTTATTTTGACAAGTACTCTTAAAAAAATGAAGAGAGAGACTTACAAGGAGTTACCACATTGAGACTATAGATGTCATTTTGTATTATCTTAGGCCTGTTTAATATGTACTAACTATCCAGGTCATTTGAAGTTAGTGGCAATGTCTTTTCCATCAGAGCACTGACTGGGGAGGGAGGATAGGTTTTTCTTCCAGATTCTGTGGTGGTGAGTTTTATTTTGAAAGTGTGCTTTAACATGGGATTGCAAGGAATGCCTCTTCATTTAATTGGTTTCTGTGCCCATTTCTTCTTGCAGTTGTGTATATAAGTGTGTGTGCCAGCAGCACTCAGAACAGATGTACAGTGATCTGATTAAAAAGATAACCAGTCACTTAGAGCGAGTCTCCAAGGAGCTGCAGGTAAGTACTCGATGCTTTGGATGTTTCTGGTGGGTGGAACTAGGCTGCCTCACGAGCTGTTGGGTTGTCATTAATCTGATTTACCACACAAGTTTATACTCTGTAGTAACTGATCTGATCTTTAGAATAAATGGTTTGAAAATTTGACATAAATGTAGCTTTGTATTTGGAATATATTTTAGTTCATACCTGATACCACAATGTTAGCATTTCTTTTTTAAAATCATGTTTTTCTCTGTTCACTTTACTATCTGGTGAAATTAAAAAAAAATATATATATATATCCAGTATGTTTTAACTTTTTTGAATTTGTGTTGTCTCTCAAGAGTAAGTGGTTTGCCTCCTAGTTTCTGACACTTTCAGTATGAACGACTGAAGCTATTGGCAAACTAGGTGACAGCAGAAAGCCATCAGTGGGGTGCCTGACCCCAGACACCAGCTTTGTACTAGAGCCAGGTCTCACTTGGATTCTGGTTTGAAGTAACTGTTCCTAGAAAACTCATAGTAGGTGACCAGGGTTCAAGCCTGGTTCCAGCAGTAGCCCTTGTGCTTGATACTGTTTCTCACTCACCTTGTAGTTTTTCTACATTTTATCTTGTGTGTGTGTGTGTGTGTGTGTGTGTGTGTGTGTGTGTGTGTGTGTGTGTTTGGGGGGGAAGGCACAGTGCCCTTGGTACAGCTAGTTTTCTCCTACTGTGTGGTCCTAGGGCAAACTTAGGTCATTAGGCTTGGTGTCAGGCATCTTCTCATCTTCACATGTTGAGCCACCTCATTGGCCCAAGGCTTTTTGTTGTTTTTTTATTTCCTTTTTTTTTCTCAATTATCAACAGAGCTACATTTTATATACAACTTTGCCTAATGTTTCTTCATATTTTTGTAACTGCCATAATCATTAACAGATATGTTTACTGTGTCAGTTGTAGATGGAACCCCAAAACTGTTTATTATGCCTTAAATAGTTTGCTTTATTTCTGATCTCTCCTTTCTCCCAGAGTTCTCCCTAAAGGCAGCTTGGGGCTGTGGTCTGTCTGTCTGCCCTGTGTACTTGGCCTTCCTGTGGTCTCTGTCACTGTTCTTTCACAAGTGTTTTGCTCATTGTTCTCCTTTTATGTCCCTAAGTTTGGGTATCCAGCTTTTGACTGATACTGATTGCTCTTTGGCTTTTAAACTAATTAACACTCAGATGAACAATGAATCTGGGCAGTAAAGTTGTCTTGCTTTTCACAAAGATACCAGGTTAGACTCCCAAATTTTAGTCATATTTGTGTCAGAGTTTGTGTTTCCTCACCCAGCTAATACAACATTTTACAAAACTAAATTTTGGCTTCCTATTAGGGAGACTTATTAAAGGTTAAAACAAGATAAAGGTTTCTCTGTACTGTTTTGGAGGCTGTCTTGGAACTTGCTCTGTATACCAGGCTGGCCTCGAACTCACAGAGATCCGACTGCCTCTGCCTCTTGAGTGCTGGGATTAAAGGCGTGCGCCACCAACGCCCAGCTTGTTCTTTTTAATATTTAAAAAACTGTCAGTAAATGTAAAGGTATATAATGTAAAACCAGGGAATTTGTTTTTAAAGTCAATACACATCCAACTGAATTTGAAAAAGACTTTCTTTAAAAATTTTTTTCCGTTGATGTTCTAGAGAATATCCTCAGGGTCTTGAGCGTGCTAAGCAGGTGTTCCCTGCTGAGCTCTTGGCTTCCTTGAGACCGTCTCACCTAGGCTTCACCTAAGAAACACCTGCTGAATTATAATTGTGCCAGGCCACCAGTGATCCTTCTACCTTAGCTTCCTGGGTGCTGGGGTTCTGGGCATCCCCCACCCTGCCAGTCTTTGACTTCTTTTAGAAGATGATAATCAGTTTTAAATAGCTAGGTAGAGTAGGTAACAACATGGGGACCTCAGATCCTGGACCCAGCTGTTGCTCATCAGTTGTAGGCCCTTTCACTAAACATGTTCAAATCTTCTCAACCTTTTCAACATTAAGGTCAAGTAGCTTTATTGAAATAGCTGTGCTTCCTTTATACTTTTCTGTTTCCTGCCTTCCAAAACCTTCTGTCTCAGAATTACTGTTCACCTATGGACTGCCTTCATGAAATTGTTGTGGAACAAAGCAGTTGGCATGTTTTTATGGACTCCTAGCCTTTAAGCAGTAACAAGCCTACTAGGGCTGGGGTTGTCTTTGTGTTCATGTGCAACTATTTCTTTGACTCTTCTGGGAGGCAAAGACTCTGCTATTTCTCTTTTTAGTCTTAATACCTGGCACAATCACAACTCAGAAAACATTTGTTTATTGAATGCTCGTCAGCAGAGTTTGACTTGTACCAATGGTAAAAATATCATGAGTAGTCTTTTGATAACTGATCTTCTTGTTTTTCTAGATGTTTAGGTAGTTTGCATGGGTACCAGAAGAATATTCGCAAGTCTTAAGGGCAGTACATTGTATTTGGGTGGAGCCTGTTATTTTATTTTATTTTATTTTATTTTTAATTCTTGAACCCGAGGAGTATTGTGGGATGATTTGTATTTGGTAGATAAGCGGATTGAGCATTGCAGTTGATAGATCAATGGGTTGGACCCACAGAGCATCAGCTTCTGTCAAGGGCATCTTAAAATAGCTACTGGTTTGACTTATTTATCCATGTTTAAAGGCATCTTAGAGAATATTATTGTTTTCAAATTTCATATATTAGTCAGACAATCCAAAATATTTTTGTTTGGTAGTACAATCTAACTTACTGTTTTAAAGCCCACGCTCCACACTCCCACATATACCTTTCATTTTGGAATAATCTTTCCACCCTTTCAGTAACTTAAAAAGTTGCTTGTTGAATTGGTAAAAACAAATAGCTAAGTCCATTTGGTAGTTTTCTTGTTTCACTTGATGCTTGTCTATAGTTTCTGTTTGAGACTGAGTGTTTCTCCTGCCTAGGCTTTTTTTTTTTTTTAATTCCTCTTTCTCCTGTCTCCTTTAACTCCTGTCTCCTTTAAATGCCATAAGTCAATTCAGTTATTTTCCCCTGTATCTCCAGATTATTTTGAATTTTTAAGTTTTTTTGATTCTCAAATGAATGGAACTAGTTTATATATTATTTAAATTATTGTACCAATTTAGCAAATCTGCTTAGTTTTAGTTTTTGTTGTTTGTTTCTAAGACAGGATCTTAGTATGCAGCCTTGGCTGATCTAGAACTTGCTATGTAAACAATAGTTTCAGAGAGATCTACCCTACCTCTGACTCCCCAGTGCTGGAATTAAAAGTGCGCAAAAGATGTTCACTGTCACTCCTGGTTTAACTGCTTAGTTTTTCAAATTTCTGTTTAGATTTATAGAAATCACCATATTTGGAATGAGGGCCTGAACCAGGACTTCCACATGTCTGCTGAGTTTGAATTACTTCTGATAGATATGTCACATTTATAGCCAAGTTGGAATGCCTTTACCATTGTCTCAGGCTTTCAGATTCGGTCAGTTAGTAGACTATCCTACTAATTCATGCTGGCCTGCTCCAATGTGGTGTTGTCTTGTTTGCCTTTGTAGACTCTTCATCCAGTTGAATAATGTCTTAAGAGTACCTAATTTGTGACTCTTGAGACACACTGTGGTGTGCATGCATGTGTGTGTGTTTGAGACAGCACCTTTCTGCGTAATCTTGGCTGGTCTCAAAGTTGTAGAACTCCACTTATCTCTGGTTGAATCACCATGCATGCCTAGCTTGTTGCCACATATTCTTGTTCAGAAACTTAAAAGATTCTACTGCCTGTTTCAAGTAATTATAGCTAAATTCTTAGAATTATTTTTTTTTTCGAGACAGGGTTTCTCTGGGTAGCTTTGGAGGTTGTCCTGGAATTCAATCTATAGACCAGGCTGGCCTCAAGAGAACCGCCTGCCTCTGCCTCCCAAGTGCTGGGATTAAAGGCATGCACCACTTAACACCTGCCTCTCTTAGAAATTATTAAACAAAAACAAAAACCTTAAAACAGAAAACAACTGAATTGGTTTATTATCTGTAAGCATTTCTGGTGGGACATTTGACGTCTGTCCATTAGGGACATTGGGGATATTCTTTTTTTTTGGTTTTTCGAGACAGGGTTTCTCTGTATTGTTTTGGAGGCTGTCCTGGAACTCTCTAAGTGGGGGATATTCTTGATAAGGTGTGATTTGGTTCACTCCTACTTAATAGTTTTCAAAAACAAGACTAGAACTGAACAGAAAACTGAGGAATTGGAGGATCAAGATCTGAGGAAAGGATACCTATGAGACAGGATCTTGACTGCTAGGGTCAACTACTGGGAGGAGACCACTATATTCTGAAATGCGTTCTTGTACTCCATTATTGAGCTACATCCCCAGCTCTGGACTGTGGAATTTAATAGAGCTCTGATTTACTTGAGGGGAAGATATAATAAAATTGACTAAAGCTCATCACACTAAAGGAATAGGTCCCAACAACAGTAAGGATGAATAATAAGTTGTAGACCTACTTTCTTAGTCTTTCTTCATTCTTAGATTATGATGGTCTAGACTGGCTGGCACCTTTAGTCATGAGAAGGAAAAGTAAATCCTCTCTGGAGAAAATAAACCTTCCCTTCCCTAGGCATGCATTTTTTATAATCACTGTCTGGCATCTAATCAGAATTAACCAGTCTAGTGTGGAGATTTTGGCAATTGTAATGTCTTGAAAAATACCAGACAAGAATTGAGAATTCATCACTAGTAGTCTCTTTAAAGAAATACTGTAGAGCATTCTTCTGATAGATGTCTCCATGTGATGGTTTTTGCATTGTTTTGTTATTTTATTTTGTCATGTTTAGTTGTAAGAAGCCTGTTCTTTTCTAATGAGAGACAGAAAGGGAGTGGACCCAGAAGGGAAAGAAGGTAAGGAGGAACTTGGAGGAGTAGAGGATGGGGAAAACATAGTCAAGATATATTGCATGAGAGTAATCTGTTTTCTTTTTTCTTTTTCTTTTTTTGGTTTTTACGAGACAGGGTTTCTCTGT